AAAAAAAAAAAAAAAAGAGAGAGATTCAAAACTATGATAGCAGACAGAAAACATTCAATAAGAGCTAGAAAATGAAGTTGCAGATATGTCCCAAAAAGTGGAATTAAAGATAGAGATAGACAAAATTAAGGAAATTATAAACACATTAGACAATCCATCCAGGAAGTCTAATGTCCTATTAATTCTGAAAAACAATTCTATCTAAAATTGTGAAGCCAGTTAAAGCATCAGTTAAGCATATAGGCAGAATGAAAGCATTTTGGGACACAGAAAGTCTCAAAAATGTATCTTCTTTCTTTCTCTGGAAGCTCCTGAGTGATATACCGTGTTTCCCTGAAAATAAGACCTATCCCAAAAATAAGCCCTAGCAGGATTTCTATGCATTTGTTAAATATAAGCCCTACCCTGATAATAAGACCTAGTGATGGGTGTGGCTATGCAGCATATATAGACACGCCATGCATTTTGGCACAGAGAAGATATCCCCTGAAAATATGCCCTAGTGTGTCTTCTTGAAAAAAAATAAATATAAGACAGTGTCTTATTTTCGGGGAAACACGGTAGTCCACCAAAATGAGAAGTAAGCCATGCTATGCAAAAATATTTCTATTATATGTATTAGGTTAGCTCACCATTTATTTCACTCTCCTTCAGGTGGCAGAGTCTGGAAAGCTAAAAACACTTATTTGCATTCTTCCAAAAATGTATCATTAGTAAAGAGTCTTGAATGACCAGGTTTCTCCACTTGGCATAAAAGGGCCCATAAGTTTGTTGTAAAATGGGAAAATGAAGAGTATCAACTGCTGCATCAGCCCTACAGACACTTGGTGCAGTGTGAGTTTGGTATTTCCTAACACACACCTTTATCACTCTAATGCTCCACACTTAATTTTGGGGGGCGGGGTGTAGACAAAGTCTTACTTTGTCACCCTCGGTAGAGTGCTGTGGTGTCATAGTTAATAGCAACCTCAAACTCTTGGGCTCAGGTGATCTTCTTGCCTTAGCCTCCTAAGAAGCTAGGACTACAGGCACCCAACACAATGTCCATCTATGCTTTAGAGATGGAGTCTCACTCTTGCTCAGGGTGGCCTCAAACTCATAAGCACAAGCAATCCACTGCCTCAATCTCCCAGAGTGCTAGGATTATAAGAAATTCCACCCGTGCCTGGTTTTTTTTTTTTTTTTTTTTTTTTTTTGGCCTGGTTTCCACATTACTTTTACTTGAATAAATACACTACACTTAAATGGAGGCATAGATGCATATAAGGAAATTGAAATCCCTATATTAGTTAAAATTATGAGAGTGCTAAGGAGGGAAGTCTATTGTAATTTTTAATGAGACTGGGGCTATACAAGTTGGGCTCAGGTCAGGTGCGGTGGCTTTCACCTATAATCCTAGCACTCTGGGAGGCCGAGGAAGGTGGATAGCTTGAGCTCAAGCGTTCAAGACCAGCCTGAGCAAAAGAATGACCTCTGCCTCTACTAAAATAGAAAAACTAAGGCAAGAGGATTACTTGAGCCCAAGAGCTGGAGGTTGCTGTGAGCTATGACACCACACACTCTACCCAGGACAACAGCTTACAACTCTATCTAAAAAAAAAAAAATTATTATGCTCAAACAATTTAGTTGGGCCAAATGTTTACCATTTTCTCAAAATAACATAGACTTTGGGTTTTGGGAAATGGGCTGGGATAGCTTCAACCAGAAAGTACTAAAATAAAAAAAGGTACACATTTTCTTTTAACTGAAAATCTTGAGATTTATTTCAAACTTGAACCCTCAAATAGAAGAACATCAAGACTAGGAAAGAGGATGTGGTATGGTCTCTCTCTCTCTTTTTTTTTTTTTTTAGAGACAGTCTTATTTTTTCACCCTCAGCAGAGTGCCATGGCATCACAGCTCACAGCAACCTCCAGCTCTTGGGCTTAGGTGATTCTCTTACCTCAGCCTCCCGAGTAGCTGGGGGATGTGGCCTCTTTTATAAAAATAAGATTATGCAACAGGCATCCCTCCAGAAAGCTGAATAGGAGGTATGAGCACTTTGTTTCTGAGCCATGGTCTCATGAGAGAAAGCCATGGCAAACACTACCACCACCATCATCATAACCACCACCGACACCTTCCACCATCACCACCACTACAACCTTCTAACATCATCACCACCACTACTACCACCACATTCTACCATCAACACTACCACCACCACCATCACCACCACCACCACCACCAGCTTCCACCATCACCACCACTACTACCACCACCTTCCACCATCAACACTACCACCACCACCATCACCATGACCACCATCATCACCTTCCACCATCAACACTACCACCACCACCATCACCAT